GTTCTTCTGGATCTTCTAGTTGTTCCCCGATGTTTTTTATTCTATTGTTAAATTCTTTTTTAATATTATGTTTTATGTTTATATCGCGAAAGTTAAGTACATTGGTTTTTTGGTTTTTGTCGCTGAATTCGTTTTAACCTTAGTTTAATATCTCCTACGAGTGGTTGATGATCAGATCCAATATCTGCCCCAGGATATGTAGTGACTTTTTTGACGGCATTTCGGAAACGCTCATTTACATGTTTATAGTCAATTTGATTTCTTGAAGACTCAGGGTTATTGCCATCATCAAATGGGGCTTTCCAAGTGTATAGTCGTCGCTTAGGTAGTTTATACCAAGTGTTTGCAATGATCATATATCGTTTTCTTTACAGAATTCATACAATCTCTGTCGTCGATCGTTAGGTTGCCTAAACCATAAGGACCTACAGTCTGACCTCGTCGACCTTTCCCAATTTTTGCATTGAAGTCGCCTATAATATATAAAATTTCGTGTTTATTAAGTTTCTGTAAGATGTCTTGGATCTGATTATACAACTTCTCGACTTCATCGTCATATTTTCTATCTGCAGTCGGGGTATAGATTTGAAGTATGTTAGTTTTAAATAATGGTTGAGTATTTATTTGGAGTAATATTATTCTATCTGAGACTGGTACGAAATTGGTCACATATTTACTCAGTTCTAATGTTACTAATATACTTACACCATTTTTGTGATGCGGGTCTTCTGTGCTGTTAGGTTAGGTTAGGTGCTGTTACCGGAATAATATAATACACTTCCGTTCTTTTTAAATGATCCTGTCTCTGGCCAAATGATCCTGTCTCTGGCCATCTCATTTCGCTAATTCCCAGTAGGTCTATTTTCATTCTTTTAATTTCTTAAATTGAATTGTCAAGCTTACCAGCCCCAAATAGACTTCTAGCATTCCATGTGCACATTCTAAAATTAGATTTCTTTATTTTTAGGACTTCTTCACGAGGTTTTCGCATATTTACGACCTGAGAGGCCTCGTGATATAAATATGTTTCTCCTCTCCTGCCGAATCTTGGCCTCCGCTTTTCATGATTAGTAACGGTTTGAAATTGCAGTGTCAATTCTATGGTGATTTTCCTGGGGGTGGTCTATGATCCTTTAATGCAGTGGTTCCCCTTTTCCTTCTGCATTCTTATACCGTTGACCAGTATTTGTTGATTCATCCACCTTCGGGACCGATTTCTCAACATCAGGACAGAAGAATGCCCTACCAGTCACCAACTCATCCGCCCTAAGCCGTTGGTCAGTAAGTGGGGGATTGCTTATACCGGCAATCACTCGGACGTCAGAGCCCCATTTGTTATCTAGCAGGATGCACCGGATGACCATAATCAAGATCATCACGCGGGCAGGCGAGGTTGACATTTGGATAGGAGAGGCTATACGTTGCGCATCAATATCCCTTGCATCCCAATTGCCTATTACCAAAAGAACGAAAATATTTCCGTGAGGCCATAAACTAATTTTGTTTCTTCCCTCTGCCTGGACAAAATTAATTTATATTGTCCTGTAGCTATTTAATATTAAATTAATTTAGAACTAAGTAATGAGGTATCAAACAAAATGTTTTTAATGAACAAATTGGACTTATATTATTTGATATATTTACATATACAATTATGAGCTTTTTAGATAACAGAAGTTGACATCCAGACAATGACATATGAATCAGCATTTGCTACATGCACTAATAGACCAGACGAATAGTTCGTGTTCGTTCGGACAAATATTGCAATGTCATTTTCATATATTATATTATTACATTGCATAATAACTGTCTTTAGATCTATCACAAACTGCCAATTTTTTGTAGATTTCTGCGAAATAACTGAGTTCATATTATAAATAATATACAAATTTAACGAAATAAATTTGGAACATAGGAATATAATGTATTTCGGCTCAATTCTGCTGTAGGTGCTTGGCTAACAAAAGATTGTCAAATAATTATATTATAAAAAATCACATACTTCAGCGGGCTGCTGGATTCTCAACTCATAAAAATTGAAAGCTACACATAAATCTACGATTTTATTATGCTGTCAAACCAGTTATAGTCCAGGAAATGTAGCATTTCACCTCGCAATTTTTTCGTGCGGCGGGGATTGACTTCAAATTTAACAGAATTTAGGTAATAGCCTAAGAATCAAAATCTATATCGAACCAAAGTGCGCCAAAGCCTAGGGGGTGGTTGCCACCCCATCTCCGGGGTGAAATTTTTTTTTACGTTTGAACTACAGCTTTCGATTAGAAAAGTGATTCTAAACAAAAAATGTGCTATACATTTTTTTTATAAAATGATATTTTTCAAGTTATTCGCAATTGAAAGTAACAACTTTTAGACGAAAAAATCCACGTTTTTAATCGATTTTTCGCGAATAACTCGAAAATGGTGCATTTTATCAAAAAAATTGTAGAAAACAAATTTGTGGCAAAGTCAAATACAATTATAAATACAATATCAATGTTCAGCGGTTTTCTTCAAATGCCAAATTTGAAAGATTTAAAGTCAAATATCGGGAAAATGATGTATTTTTGGAAGAAAACTCACAAAACCTTTTTTAAAAAGCATAAATAGACCTATCATAAAAAAATTAGGTCAATACCTCATTTTTTACGAAAAAATCGAGGAAAACAACACCCTAACCACCCCCATAATTAAAATCGATCTTCACCCTTCTGCAATTCCCTTTGTAGATGTATTGTTAATACGTCCAAGAAGTTTGACCGATTTAAAATGCTTAGTTTTAGAAAAAGTACAGCTTAAAGCGAGAAACGATTTACAATTTCATATTTTTTACCCTTCTTTTTTTAAATATGCCCGAAAATACTGAATATATGAAAAAAAAAATTACCAAATTGTAGCTTTTTTAATGACTAAAATTATCCTTTATTTAGATTTGTTGTACAATGAATATTTGGCGAGATATAGCCGTTTAAAGCATCGATTTACGATCAAGTACCATCTTTTTCGAGCCCTTTAAACTCACCCCATTTAAAAGCCAAGGGTTCCAAAAAGATTTAATTCACAGATCCTTGTAGCTATTAAAAACCTCTACAAATCGTTTTTGAAGAAACACTCTATCGTTAAAAATTAAAGGAAATACGTTAAAAAAATCAGTTAATTTTTTTCCGGAAAATTCCATTAGTATAGTACAGTACATTTCGAAGCATAATAATCTACAAAACCGCCATATTAGCTAGTGGGGCGTTATACATTCAAAATTTTAAGCGTTCTTATTTTGAAATCCCATACAACAGAATAAAACATCTGCTCATATGTCTATGGCTTGGCAATGAAAATATCAGAGCAACAGATTGGTATTCCAAAGATGGTTTGTTATTACCGTACGCATGAACAAACAACCTGCACCCGATAAATTTTTGAAAATTACTTTTTGCCAATGCAAAAAAGGATGCGGCGTTTCATATGGGTGCAGAAAAGTTGGTTTATACTGTAACTCTACTTGTTCTGGGTGCTCAGGTGAAGGGTGCAATAACAGTCCACCAATAATTGAAGAAGATGAGGATGACATATATCACGATGAAGATGTAATTGATGACGAATAAAATTAATATTATAATTGTTTTACCTATAAATGTAAATATTTTCAACTATTTATGTAAATGTATAAGAATATATGGTGCCTTTTTATGTTGATAATTTTTTTTGTATTTAATTCTACTATTTTCAATTTATATCTTATAAATGAGTTTGTAAAAACTGCAATGTTGTAAAGGGTGATTTTCAACAGTTAAAAAGTTGCAAAATTTTGGCAAAAAATTGTTTTCACATATAGCACACATAACAATTGATTTTTAAGGGTTAAAAATGTATGAATTTGTATTTTAAAGTATAAAAAACTCACTATTTAACTAATCCAAACCAAATTTCACTCATCTTAAGATTTGTAATATTATTTTACAATTTTTGAAAATTAGGGGTAGTTTTCACCCCTAAGAACAATCAGGGTTCATCGGCATGACATAAACTATAAAGCAGAGGGCGAGTTGAGCTGAATTCCAAATTTTTATGCAAATCGTTCCAAGGTGAAATTATTTTCTTCGCATTACTAATTTTTTTATATTAATCTCTAATAAGGGTCGCTTTTTAAGGGTTGAAATATGATGGAACCTTATTCAAAAGCACGAAACTATTATTATTTAATTAATTTAAACCAAATTTTACCCATATTCAGGTTTAATATGTCATTTTATAATTTTTGAAAATTAGGGGTAGTTTTCACCCTAAGAACAATCAGGGTTCGTCGACATGACATAAACTATAAAGCAGCGGGTGAATTGAGCTTAAATCCAAATTTTTATCCAAATCGATCCAAGGCGAAATCATTTTTTTAGAATTAGTAATTTTTTGCATTAATCTCTAACAAGGGTTGCTTTTTAAGGGTTGAAATATGATGGAACTCTATTTAAAAGTATAAAATAATCATTATTTAACTAATTCAAACCAAATCTTACACATATTCACGTTTAATATGTTATTTTATAATTTTTGACAATTAGGGGTAGCTTTTACCCCTAAAACCCTTCAGCGCACTTCGGTTCGATATAGATTTTGATCCTTGGGCTATTGCCTACCTTCTGCTAAAATTTCAACTGGATACATGCAGGACGAAAAAATTGCGAGGTTTTAACTTTTTTCGAACTTCATTTCCTGAACTATTATCGCCTCCTTAGACAAACCCGTCTTACACAAACAACTTTGTTGCGAGACAGATAGTTAAACGATATTTTATACAATGTCTATACCCAGGTATGGATTTATTGTTGTCCAAGTTTTATATTGGTCCACTATTTCAAATGCAGTTCAAACAGACATGTATTAAATTGTATGTTCCGTTTTAATTTGGTTCAATCTGTACAAGGATACAGCAGTGAATGATCATGAGATAAAATAAAAAATATTGTGCTAATTAACTAACTCTACTTTGTTTTCTGTTTTAGGATTATCTCGTACGTGATGGACCCGGAGCCAAATGGCTCTGAAGGAAGAAATATTACCGTTACTTCAACTGCACAACCTGTTCCGACACTTCATCCCTATTACCAAACGTACGATGTCATGACCGGAGTGCGAATAGCTGCGACGCTCGGCAGCTTTTTTGGCCTAATGGCTATTCTCATGTTTTACAAATCAAAATCCAAGACTGAGAAGGCCATGGAAGACCCAGATTTTACAGCCGCTGCTATTGCTGAGGTCAGAATAATTCTTTATATATATTATCTACAGTTTTTTATAACTTTCAATTCTAAACTTTTCTTTTTGTTCTTCTTAGCTTTATTAAAACTTTATAACGTAGTATTTTTAAAATTAAACTTTATAAAATTTAATTTATTTGCTGACTTAGTAGTAGTTATACTAAATAGTAGACTGCTTGTATGAAAACATATCTGGATAAAATTTAGGCATAATTTTTAACGCATACAATTATTAAATGCATTTTCACTCTCTATACTCATATATACACTGACGGGCAAAAAAGTGGCCACCCTATAAATTTCCGAAAATAAAAATTCATTTTAAGTTTTATGCACTTTTTCATATTGAATACACAATATCTTTTATTTTTTAAACAATAATCGGCCATTACTGTTTGATTTCCTAGCATATTTTATTTAATTAGAATGTTACAAAATAAAATAGTGTAATATTGAAATGAATTCCAAACAATAAAAATTACGAGTGAACTTGAAAAAGATTGTCTAATATCGGGTATTATGCCCTTAAAGATCAATATTCGTTTTCATATGATTTGGAAGGGGAAAGGAACAATTTTTAAGAAAAACTTAAGGAATACATTCATATTCTTTACTAAGCATGTTTTAAAGTTCTGCAAGATTTTGTGGCTTGTCTGGTTGACTTTTAACCCTACGATATTTTATTCTAAATATCGTCGGGATACAAGCAAAATGCACTTTTGTGCATTTTGCTTGTAACCCGACGATGCAAGTCAAAAAAGTGGCTTTTGAGTTATTGCATTTTTAAATTTGACTCATCTTCTTATTCATAATTTAAGGATCCGCGTTAGTTTTTTTAATAAAATCTCCACTCTGTATATCTTCACACATGTTTTAAGAACAATCTTTTATAAAAAAAATATTAAATCTAATAAAGGAAGAACTATAATAAACTAGTTTTTGTTAACCTCGCAATGACTTAATGTGTTTTACCTGAAACTGAAAAATTAATGTATTTTGCTTGTACTTTTATAATCGCATTGTTGACTTATTCGTACTTTAAAGTTTGGTCTTATAGAAAGTACTTAAATAACCTCATAGAAAATTAGTGAAAAAAATTAAAAAACGATTTTTTATTAAGTAAAATATGATAGTATAAAATTATTTAAAATGTTGATATTTTAATTTATAGTATTTCTTCATCCTCTGAATCACTAAGAGATGATGGTTCGGCTGCATTGTCCCTTACTAAGGTTGAAGTTGGTAGACTCTCGTACCAACAGTGAAGAGCAGGAGGTACAATATTTTTTTTACAAAGTTTCACCAAGTCCCTTTTTTTTGCTTCAGAAATTGGCAACTGCTTAGTGTACAATTTAGGAATAGTTAGAATTTTTGAAACGTCCTCTTTAACATTTCTCTTGCTAAGGGTTCGTTTAAAATTAACATGTATACTTTTATACTCATCTGCAAAATTATATTTATATTGAATGACATTGGGCAACTGTTTTTGATACCTAAAACATTTCACGTTTAGCCAATTAACAGTATTTTCTTCAAAGTCTTCGTTTTTATTTATTATCATCATCTGAGCCAGTTTCTTCAAATCCAAAAATTCGTTATGTTCAATTTCTCTTGTTTTGTAAGCAGATTTATCACCTTTTCTGTTTTTTCTTGCCATTCTAAAGATATTCTCGTATTCATGTACACTAAAAATATCTATTTTGTGCTTGGCGGTTTCGATGGAACTGTGCATAGAATCCACTTCCATGTAGGAATGCCCACTCTCCATAAACTTCTGTTCAATGACATCAAGGGTTGGATGGCATTGGACAGTATGAAGCAATACAGCGGCTACTTGAATGTTCCGATTTTGGCCACCACACGTATCAGAGAAGATAGTTAAATGCATCACATTTTTTCTATTCTCTGTTAATGATTGTATATAAAGTGACAAACAGGTGCCAATTTCACAGCTACCCCTTTTTCCATTTACTTCTGTCCAAAAATAACAAAATGCGTCATTGGGTGGAGCAGATTCATAAATTGTAAAATTGTATAAGTTTAGTTTCCGTAAATAATAAAGCAAACTAATTTCAGATGTTGGAATATGTAACACACTTTGCATGTCACAGGAAATGGATATGAAACCATTTTCATCAGTTGCTATCTGTTTGTCGGCTTCTTTTTCTTTCATAGCTGCATCCTTTCTTTCTAAATGCATCTGATACTTTTTTTCCAGCTTTGTCCTCTCCTCTGGAGCGGCCTTTTCATATTCGCTGCAAGTCATGCATTGATCCTTCTTTGGTTTGAAAAAGGAAAAATTATATTCCTTACAGAAGATTCGTCTGTAAGTAATGCTGCTTGCTTTTGGCATATTATTTCTTTGGCAATCTTCTAAAAAGAGACCATGCATCTTTTTTATATTCAGATTTTTATCTAGGTAGAGTCTTTTTGTTGACTTCCTTGTATAGTGACTTTCCATCACTGGGAAACTCTCAATATGATTTTTCACTCTTAATCTAATTTCATCCGACGTTTTGTTGCACGGAATATGTTTACCTCGATTGTCTTCACCTCCATATTCCCCACTCTGACTTTTATATTGAAATGCATTGATGATTGGTTAATTTGAAATACAGAGTGTTGCACAGAAAAACTTTTGGCATACTTGTATCTTATGATTGTTACTTAAAAAGTAGTTTTTAGCATTATTTCTTTGTTTGCTGTCATTGCCCTTTCTAGGTCTACGTGTTTTCACTTCTTTAGACAAAACGTTCATTAATATAAAATCTCTTTGCCTGTTAAATTCTAAATTCCAGTAAGTACGACATAATTCAGTACGATCCTCCGGTGAAAAATTGTTACTGCATTTATACCTGCAACGAGAGCAATCAACAGGTTTAGGTAGCTTTGGTGCCTGCGTTTTTCCTCTTCTGCTTTTATAAGGTAAACCTTCAATCTTCTTTTTTCTTTCTATGCTTCTTTTCCAAAGCGCTGGTTTCGCTTGGTTCCACCTTACTCGTTTCTCTTCTGTTATTGGGTTTTCTCTTTTTTGACCTGCAACGTTTTCATCTACTATCAAATTTTGTTCTTTCTTTAGACTCACCTTCCTTTCCGAACAATCACTTTCATTTTCTGACGAAACAGGCGGTATCCAGTCTCTATCTTTCATGGAATCATCGAAGTCGTACACATTCGCTACTTCTTCATCCAATTGGGACGACACTTCTACTCGTGATGTGCAAGGAATTGGTAAACTGTGACGTATATCTAAAACACAATTGAATTTTATTGACAACAATACTAAAACTTACATAGAAGTAAAAAACTTCAATTTGTATAATGGCATAAAATTTTATTAAAAACTTTTTAAAAAAGTGTCGTCCTTAACTATTTTTAATAACTCTCTATTACTGAATGAAAGGTGAAAGTATTAAAATAATTAAAATAAAATTTTGCAACTTGCAACTGAAGCTATGACATCATAATAAGTAGTAGGAAAAATAAATTTAATTATAAAACAAAATGAGTGAGTGTTGTTTTAGAGTAATTGTAAGAATGTATATTGAAGGATGAACTATGAACGTAATAAAATGTTTTAAGAGAAATTAAAAAAAAATGGTTTACCTTTTGTAGTGTTGACAACTGATCCAGGATCCACAGGTGTTAAAGTTGCAAAAGTTTTTTGATTTTCATTTCCATTATCATTATTTGATGGTAATATTTGAAGTATTTCTAAAATGAAATAATTTATTTTACTAACATAAGAATAAACTTTTGTAATCAAATCTAAACTAACAATAATAAACTATGTGACTCACCGTTCTCCAATTTTTTAACGTTGGCAAATATTTTGTCAATACGTTTCATAATGAACTTTTCGTTTCAAGTTCTGGGACACAACTGACTCATCAATAACCACACATAAAGCGAGGAAGAAATATTTTGCAAGCTGAAACTTATATAAAAATTTTATACTAAATACTAAATCGTTTTTAACGGGAGTTTTAAAACCAAATTTAACCAGTAAAATCCACTATGTCAAATAATTGCCTTCAGCAAAATACACTAAGTCACTTAATGGATTTTGCCTGAACAAAAATTTGTTGTTAAAGACTTAGTGAATGTAAAATTTTATTGTTTTGTGTTGTCAAGGATGAGAAAATACTTAATGGATTTTGCTAGTACATAAAGTAAACAAATTGCAATATCAATATGTAATTAAGTCAAAAATGACAAAAACTGACTTAGTGTATTTTGCTTGTAACCCGACGATATGTTCGTTGATATTTAGATTAGGGCTTCCTGCTGACATAGAATGGTAGTATTAATTCCTACTTCCCTCCAGTAATTTGTCACGATTCTTGCAGTATGCGGCCGTGCATTATTAAATGAACCAAATGAAAATACTGATTCTGCCAAAACATCCTCTATATACCCGTGAGCATTCAGGGGTCCATTAATAAAAATAAGTTCAGTTCGATCTTCAAATGAGATTTTAGCCCAAACCTTGATACCCCCACCCTGAAACTTTCTACTCTAGTACATACAAGCTTGGACATATCTTTTATTTCTCCGTATCCAAACCCTCTCTGAACCATCGCCAGACTTCAAACAGAACCGCTATCCATCAGTAAAGTGAATTCGGCTCTATTCCTGTATGTCCCAGAGTTAATGTTATCGAGCAATCATTAATCGATTCCTACAGTGTCTGGGTTATAATTCGGAAACAATAGCCGGTCTTCTTTCCATTAGTCCTCTTTCAGTGAGGCGTCTTTTAACCGTTGTCTCATTTATATTAACATTTTGAACGTCCTGCAGACGGTTTCTTGTAGCAATTGGAGTGGAATGGCGATTTCTTAAAAGTTCCATCAGAACAAAACGATCATTTTGCGAGATAACTCTTCTACGACTGGTACCAGGTCAACGTGGTGATCTACCAGTCTCCATAAAGCTATGGAAGGCTCACCGTACTGTGGTTCTCGGAATACATAAACTTGACTTCTTCCGTCTTATAGC